CGCGTGGTAACCCGTATCACATAGGGAATCCGGGACCACCAGACACGAAAACGACTCCTGACCATCGACCCTCCACCTGAATTATCCGAGGTTGTACGTTTTGTTCGTAGTGAGGAGTCCGCTCGAAATACGGATGCTGATCTTGCCGGAAGCACCAAGACTGCAGAATTTCACGCGTCGCCAGCTGCATCTACGCATCCGTTCCCTCCCAAGACAGTTGAAACAGATCATCCCTTAGGTCGTGAGCAGCAATGCTCAGCCTGGGGGAAGAAGTGCAAGAACTAGAGTATCACTGGGCACTTCAGCAAGGTGTGTCGCAAGAAGGCTGCCCATGACTCTAGCTCCTCGCAGAAATCAAAGGAAACCCCTCAACATGTGAACCAGAGTAGCGCCCGCTGTATGAAACTAGGAGACGTCCACAAGTCCCAGCCTCCTCGTCAGGCGCCAAAGGTAAGACTTAGAATATCCACCACAATAAGTAGTCGAGGCACACTCCTATTCACTCCAGACACTGGCGCAGAGAGGAGAGCCATTGGCACCCGACAACTGCAGCAGTTAGGCATTAGGAAGTCTGACATTGGCACTCCCCAGGACGAGGACGTTCTCATTGCCAACTGTAGCAAACTGAGCCCTCTTGTATTCTTCCGAGCTACCCTGAACATCGAAGATGCTTCATCTGACACTACTATCGAAGTGTTCCAGGAGATCGACGATGCCCTAGTTTCGTGGTATGACGCACAAGCAGACTACCTGAAGCAGATCAAGGAGCTTCGTGATCGGCAGTCGGTCACCATCAAGTCTGATGATCCCAGCATTGATCATTTGAAGCATGATCGCCAGCAAGTCTTGAAGGAGTTTAAGGATGTGCTCATTGATCCCGAAGATTTTCACAATGGTGCAAAGCTACCGACCATGTCTGGGGATCCCATGAAAATTCATCTTAAAGATGACGTCAAACCCTTTGCAATCCATACTCCTCGAACCATTCCTTTATCGTGGATATCATACACCAAGCAGATGCACGATAGCATGGTCCAGCAAGGTATCATTCAACCACTTGGTGATGAGGTGTCTGAGTGGTGTCATCCCATGGTGATCGCTCCTTGGTGGAAGGGTGGTGTCCGCATTACAATAGCATTGACGAAACTCAATTAACACATTCTACGTCCCTCCCACCCATTCCTGACACCAAGCAGCACTGCCATGCAATTAAAACCCTGGTTCTATTTTTGTTTGTGTTTTTTACGGGGAATTTCTCACCTAGGCACAGGTCATCGACCCACAACGGCTATGGATGCTATGCTTGGCTATTGGCAGATCCCGCTCGCTGAGGATGCGCAGTCACTGACCACCTTCATTACATCATGGGGGAGATACAAGTTCCTGCGAGGTCCCATGGGATTCGTCTCAACAGCTGACGAGTTCTGCAGACGAGATGACATTGCTCACGGAGGCAAAGGCAACCTTACCAAAGTAGTTGATGATGTGCTCGTTTGGGACTCGGCCTATTCCGAACACCTACAACGTATCCGTGCAATTCTGCAGCAATGCCTCAGACGCAAGATCACCATGAACTGTAATAAGTTTGTGTTTGCACGTCATTCTGTGGAGTTCTGTGGTTACGGCATTACGGCTGGCGGAGTAGTTGCTGACGCTGGTAAGGTCAAGGGGATAGTAGACTTACTAGTCCCTGTCAACATTACTGATTTCCGTTACCTTTCTAGGTCTTGTGAACCAGATTGCCGACTTCACTTCGAGTATCGCATTGGCTGTCGGTACACTGCGCACCCTTCTCAGTACCAAGAATGCCTTCGTATGGACCTCAGTCCATCAAAATTCTTTCAAGAAAGTAAAGCGAGCTCTATCATCACCACCGGTGCTCGCCCACTTCGACCCCGCCCTCTCAACACTATTGCAGTCTGACGCCTCACGTCTCAAGGACCTTGTTTACACCCACCTGCAGCTTCATGGTGAGAAGTGGAAGATTGTTTCAATGTGGTTCTCGTTTCCTCAGTGACATGGAGACCAGGTACGCCATGGTGGAGCTGGAATTCGTTGCAGCAGTCTGGGCTATGCGGAAGTGTCGTCTTTACCTGATTGGACGAACACATTTCGAACTTCGTTATTGACCACAAAACTCTGGTGCCCTTCCTGAAAGACTACACACTGAATTCTGTGGAAAACCCACGACTGCAGCGTCTGAAAGAGAAAACAGCACAGTATTCTTTCACTGCAAGGTGGCGTAAGGTCAAGGAGCACGTCATCCCTGATGCGCTCTCACGTGCACCCGTTGAAGACCCGACAAAGTCTGACTTGGAAGCTGAAACGAGGGTGACTTACCACATCCGTAGTTGTGTGAGGGCTACGGCAATGGAAGTGTCGTCGCAACCTTCTGAACATTTGCGTGACTCCATCATCGAAGAAATCCGCAACATTGCTGCCCATGATGAGATTTACTGCCTACTTCATAACACCGTTGCCTTGGGATTCCCATCCGACAGAAAGAAGGTACCAGCAGTCATGAAGGATTTATGGAAGATCAGGGACAGTTTAGCCATAGAAGATAGTCTTGTTCTTCACGGTGCTCGAATCGTAATTCCGACCGCAATTCGTCGTCAGATCTTGTCTCGTCTCCTTGAGTCTCCACAGGGGGATTGAAGAGATAAAGCGTCGAGCACCTCAGACAGTATGGTGACCTGGCATCACAAGTGACATCATAACCACTGTCCAGTCCTGTGACGCATGTCAGACTCTGCTGCCATCTCAGGTTAAGGAACCATTAACATGTGACTTAGTCCGAACCCGGCCATTTGAAGATGTCTCAGCAGACCTCTTCTCCCACGCTGGAAAAGACTATCTACTTTATGCAGCAAACTTGTCTGGGTGGTCACACGTCGGTACTTACGGTAGGGATGCGACTTCACGAAGCGCCATCAAGCTTCTGTGCAGCTTCTTCGTGAATGTTGGTGCTCCTGTCTGCCTTCGCACCGATGGTGGACCACAGTTCTCCAGTCATGACTTCCGATCCTTCCTCAAGCACGACATCTCATCGCCACACTATCCACAATCTAATAGTAATGCTGAAGCTTATGTCAAGCATGTGAAGCATTTGATTATGAAGACCACAAAAGGTGGTAACGAAGATGGTGAGAATTTTGACCCCCAGATACTTTTTGGCCTGCCATTACGGACAGCAATACCGGCTCCCGAGTGGCAAACTGTGGCAAAGGAGCATGGCAATCAGCAGTTAACTCCTAGGCAAAAGGCAGAAGAACACTACAACCGCTCTACTCTTGCCCTACCTCCTCTGAAGGTTGGCATGCCTGTCCGCATCCAGGACCACATCTCGCTACGCTGGGATAAGGTCGTGACCGTGGTAGGTGTTGGTCACCACAGGGACTATCAAGACAGGCTTCCGAGCGGTACCTTGTATTGGTGTAACGGCCGACTCCTGTGTCTTCACCATTTGTCATGTCCTACACCAACACCTACTAGAGCTCATGTCGGTGCTGTTACTGAAGTTCCAATATTTTTTTTTTTTTTTTACGGGGATTAGCCCACCCGGGCACAGGTCACTGACCCGCGTCGGGGCCTGGGGGGCGAAAATTTAATAATACTAATAGTAGTAATAATAATGATAATAATAATAATAATAATAATAATAATAATAATAATAATTCAGATAAGTACAATTTATAATAAAAAATACAAAAATAAAAATAAAATAATAATGATAACAATAATAATAATAATAATAACACTGAAATACTAATACTAACACTAATACTAATACTAATAATAATAATAATAATAATAATAATAATAATAATAATAAGAAGAAGAAAAATCAATAATGAGAAACAATACATGTATGTTGTTGTCAAAGTAAGAGAAACAATTGAAACCCTGCAATTGTGTGTAAATGAGGCAGAAAGTCAGATCAGCAACCTGGGACTTGGTCACAATTTTGGTGATGCCATAAGGCAGCAGGGTCTACCATTAGACAACACATTATGCTTCCAATATCTCCCCAGGTGGTAGTACCTCCCTGTTTGGTAGCTGCCTACTACCTACTGCCCGCGTCATCAGCCTCTTAGTCTGCTAGACAAGCAGAGCGCCACATCAGTTTCTCCCTGCCACCTTTTTCGTCTCCCAAGAGAAGCAAACCCCACCGCAGATGTCCTCACTGACTGGATATACGAGTCCTCGACTCTACCTCGGACTCCCCCAGGAAGGGGGAGATAGTGTTCAGTTGGCTAGGTGTACATGTATAAACCCTACGTATGTTTTATCAGTTATGTAGGTCCATATGTATGTATGTATGTATGTATATTCAATGTATGTGCTGTTACTATTACTTTGTATTTGTTATATTGTCCAACACCTGGCAAGCTACCGCGCCACCCAAACTACTGTCAGGGAAGTAAGCCATAACAACAACATTGGTAGGTCTAGCGGCTCATCCGGCAGTCTTACCAGTCCGTCCCTACAGAGCACACGTCTGCCCCGTGCTCTTGCCTTTGTACTGATACTCCTTCAGCAAACTCCGGTGAACTAATTGTCTTATTACTCGTCAACTCCTATAATTGAACAGCAATAGGCACTAGCAATATAACCTAGCATTTCCGAAAAAAGGTATTTTACATAATCATTAACGGGTATTTTACAGCAAATATACATTTTTGGGGGTCCTAAAATGCTCTTCTTATACTCTACAATTTTTACAGTGTACAGCATCGTTTTTTTCACAAATATCTGAACTTCTAAAGAAAGTTTTTAATGTTTTACATAGGAAATTATATAATAATAATAATAATAATAATAATAATAATAATAATAATAATAATAATAATGATAATAATAATAATAATAATAATAATAATAATGATAATGATAATGATAATGATAATGATAATGATAATAATAATAATAATAATAATAATAATAATAATAATAATAATAATAATAATAATAATAATACCTGTTTCTCTTCTTTCCAGTTGAATGTGTAGTAACAGATGGCGGCTGCCGTAAAGTCGTGTTTCGTACTTATTGGTTACACTATCATAGTGACAGGCGCCCTCTTTCCCGGCCCTCTCAGTAAGTTGACAATTATTTATATCAATAAACCATCATGCCTTTTGTTCGATCTACTGACTAATTATATAACTCACACGTGTCAGCAATCGGTGCAGTCAATTAGATTACACGCCTTTGTTCCCAAACTGCAGTGTTATGGACAACCGGTGGCGCATTTATGTTTTGCCAGTGACACGTGGTGAGATGAGACAATTAGCCATTTCTCGAGCATCGGGACATACCAAGATAAAACAATTATTTATTCGTTTATTTTTCCAATCAATTACTTGTATTGAATCAGGTGCCAGGTAACCTGGTGACGGCCCACTCAAAACGACTACAACAACTACAAAACTGGTTACTACTGCAAACATGATAACCAGCTGCTATTAGGAGACATAATTTTTCCCCATTTTATTGTACTTCTACAATAATCCCTAATGTAAAAAATTTATGAATTGCCTAACTTTATAGTTTTCTGTGTCAGTTTGTCTTACTTGATAAACCGGGGATGATAAAAGTGACCTCTCATAGTGTTCGTTGGCTCGTAGCTTAATGTAATGGATATAGTCACAGTAACCTTAGCCTGATAATAATGTTAATATCTTCAGTTCATTGGTCTAATTATCACACGCTTCACCCTCATTTACGTAATTAAGGGTACAGTTGTCCGCTAAAATGTCAAGTGGTACACAGAATTCAAAAGGTTAGTGACCACCGTTATAGATTATGATTTTCATGTGAGAAATAGTTTTGTTTAATAAATTTATCCTCTTTTATTGCTAAACGGGATTAATATAAAATGCCTCGTGCATAGTTATTTAAGATAAGCTTCATAATGAAAACGGACTTAGCTGGCTAACTACATTATATTATTAACTGTTCAAGATCCTTTGTGAAAATAAGCAGTTCTCTTTTTTACCGGTTTAAGAAAAAATCATGATACAGTAATACAATAAGTCCCGGTGAAGGTGTGTGTCGAAAATTTTGCTCTACATATTTATAAGTGAAAATCTTTCAGGTGACAGCGAGGTTTTCAAAAATGGACCAGGAGCACTGAAATCCGTCCTCACAGACGCGTTACAACCCCATTGCTCCGTGGCCTTCTTCACCGATCATGGTACCTTGGCGAGAAAACTTTATTCAGTAAGTAAATTTATGTCATATTAAAAATTAATGCATAGGATATTTACATCTTAATGTATTTCAGATATCAGTAACCGTGATTCTACAATATGATTTTACTCGTTGCAGTTGATGGATTATCTGCAAGACTATCTCTCGGTGGCGGTGTTCGAGGTGGCAGTGGACGGCCAGGACGCTAACGTGACGCAAACGCAGCTCTCCCGGGTGGTCGACGAAGCTCAGCGGGTAGGTCACTCTCACATTACTACTGAGGCGGGTAGGTCACTCTCACATTACTGCTCAGGCGGGTAGGTCACTCTCACATTACTACTGAGGCGGGTAGGTCACTGTCACATTACTGCTCAGGCGGGTAGGTCACCCACATTACTACTGGAGGCGGGTAGTCACTGTCACATTACTGCTCAGGCGGGTACTCACATTACTACTGAGGCGGGTAGGTCACTCTCACATTACTATTGAGGCGGGTAGGTCACTCTCACACTACTACTGAGGCGGGTAGGTCACTCTCACATTACTATTGAGGCGGGTAGGTCACTCTCACACTACTACTGAGGCGGGTAGGTCACTCTCACATTACTGCTCAGGCGGGTAGGTCACTCTCACATAACTTCTACCATGTTGACGTCAACAGCTGCGGCAGGTGTCATGGTGCGTGACGGTGGTGGTGGTGAGCGACGACCCAGCCTTCCTTGCAGCCTTCGCCGAGCGGTCCCTCAAGGGCCGCCTCCTGGTGTGGTCAACGAGGCTCCTCATAGTGACTCGTCGGCCCCTCCCGGAACTTCACCAATTGTACAAGCTACTCTCCATGACCAACTCTATGCTGCTGATTTTCGAGAATATCTCGAAATATGAAAGGCAAATACTCTTCTTCTGCATGTGACACTTGTGTAGAAAATTAATTTTCATGCAAGTAATATATATATATATATATATATATATATATATATATATATATATATATATATATATATATTCTCAATTTGTAGGTGCAACATATACAATCTCCTGCCCTATACTTCCGAAGAAGCCCAGGCGTTTCAGATCGCTTCCTGGACACCCCAAGCAGGCCTAGTTCTCACCACCCACCTTCCGCTCTTTCCTGATAAGTTTTCCAGGTGAGTGATGGATTTGTTGCTCAGACCCTGAATACACTAATGTTTATGCTTCTGGTCAATAAGGTAAATTTTCCCCCCCCTATTATAATGTGTCAATTCATAGTTATATTCGATTACGGATTCAGTTAATGCAGCTTTTGCTTATTGCTAAAAGATTAAAGGAAGTGATATAGAATAAGATTCTTACGTTACATGCAGTAGTATTTTTGAACGATACTATCTCTAGATAGATTATGAGGCTTACTTAGAGCAAGTCATTGAAAATAACAATAAGTATTGAACTGTTTTATTATGCATGTAGTTAATAAATATGTTGTAAAAATCAAAGTTTTTATCATTAGATACTGTGAAATAGTATAATATATTCAATGAACAAGTGCCCATAATGTTTTTAGAAGTTAATGCAAAATAGTTATCACAGCAGAAATGAATTTACTGTTATAATAGTGCCAAGATAAATCTTGCTACTTGGACTGTGAATTTTATATGAATTTAAAAATCACATTAAAATCATGATTAAAAGTACTATATTAAATACTAAAGCAGTATTTTTGTTTCTTGAAGTTTGCGTAACAACTCATGCACATCCATAAAAGATGATAAACCTCTTGAATCTCCGCCCGCGGTATGGGTGATAGGATCAGTACCACTAAGGTTCTTAGTCAATAAAATTATAGTGATTCTGTCGGCTACCTTATCATATTTTTTCACATCCACACTGGAAACGCAGTGATCACACGTCTCAGGAATTGTTGCTCAACAATTATAGGAATTATAGCGATATTGTCTCTTCTGCCAGGAGCTAAGTTTAAATCCCCGTTGGAGGTTTATATATAGAGAGAGAGTTGACGGTCGTTCGTGTATAATTGTTACGTAGACGGGAATCATGGATGTATCTCAGTCAAGTTTGAAATAAAACAAATGGGACTACTAATCCCAACGTATTAATCTAACTGTTAGGTTAGGCTGGGTTAAGTTGTATTGCAAATCCATTTACCTTAAATAGTCCGGGGAAATTAAGGAAAAAATATATGAACTAATTCATAATGAAATGATACTTGGTGGAATTTTTTGGAATATGTTCCTGGACAACGTATCAAAGCTTCCGACCAATCCGAGGTCAGCTTTTGCTGCCATATAATAAAATGTTGGCCGTTTGCAGTTTATTTTGTGTTTTACTTGTTAGCCGCTGATTTTAGGGAGATGACTGTCAGCTAAATAAAAGAGCATAAAATTCTACATATGATGGTATATTATAATTTTGTGTACGAGTCACACTTTCTGAGAAAATATAATTTTGCATCCCCACTGCCCACGCCCCTCTCTTTCTTACGTCAACTGGTGGGGTACTACACACGAGGTAGACTACATGATGCGTTTTTTCTTTAATTTGGTTTCCCCTGTAGGCCAATTCCATGGTTAGTGCTTTTTATGAAAGTTCCATTCTCCCCGCAATTTGTCCAACACTAGTAGTTATACTGTAAATTAAATATTTTAGTCAAATTCGGTGTCGTTGTGACAATTGTGGTTAGTATCAAAATCTCATTCATTCTCTGCAGCATCGACTACATTGTAATCTTCCGCAGCACAACTGTAATAGGTTTCATCAGTATCCTTGTCTCCACTGTCAGTATAAAGAATTGAGATATTATCAACTATGTGTCCATCAAAATCATCATCTTGAAAAGTGACAGTGATTGCATAATTATATTCGAGTATCTTAAGTCTGCTTTTTTGCAGCTACATCGTCCATCACAACTCTTTTTGCATGCTCAGGATCTTATATTCAGAAGCGACTCGAGAGCTGCTACCTTAATGGCTCGAATAGGAGCATTCTATTTTGATGAATTTTCTATCTCCAAGCCTCAGGTAGTAAGAGAATATTGTACCTCGCCACAACTGAACTTCATGGTAAACACGCAGGAATTGCAAGCATGCAGGAGCTGTTGTAGGTGACAGTCTTGCAAGTTTAACTGCACTATTACTGTGACTCATTGCTTTGTCAAAGTTCTTGATGTGATACTGAGCTAAAGAGATTTCACTCTTCTCTGCCCCCACGTATGTCATCACGTTTTTTAACCAATGTCATTTTTCCCCTTATGAAATACAGAATATATTGTGTCACAGCCACTTGCAGTGCGCAAATATCGAATGTGGTCTTTAATCACTTTATGGTTAACCTGCATATCTATGGAGGAGCACAACTGATTCCCTTGGCTTAAAGATAAATATGTTCCTGTTACAGTTTGGATCTCTTCCGCTGATCTTGAATAACAGTTTGCTAATGATGACTACTTCAGCATCATAAGGAGCTTGGTGAACAATTAGTCCCTGCTCTCTCATATTTTCCGGATAACTGTGATATAAATCTGGAATTGCAGATCTCAGTTTTCCTTTTACTGGAGAAGTAGTCAAACTTGCATTCTCTCTACTACCTTCCAATCGCTTCACCATATACAGGACACACAAAGGACAAATTTTTCCATTTTCAGTATGCTGTATTTCACACTGCATGTATAATATTTCACTTTGTCTATCATTTTGTGTTTATCATTCAGGTAAGAATGTCAGTCTCATATTATAACCTGAAAAAAACAAAAACGACATTAAATTTTGTTGTTTTTTGACATTTAAACATTAAACAGTGTTATAAAATAAAGGTGGGTTGTATCTATTGTGGAAGAAAATGTTCATTTTCTCGGAAGTATTAATCGTAAATAAAACTGAAAAAAAACATCATGTGCAGAATTGTCGGCTCTTTTAATTTGTTATCTCGCTAAAATCAACGGTTAACGAACAAAACACAAAAAATTAAAACGGCCGCTAAATTTTCAAGATAGCGGCGAAAGCTCACCTAGGATTGGTCGAAAAATTTGATATGTTGCTTAAGAATGTATTTAAAATAATTCTACCAAGATCATTTCATTGTGAATTAGTACAACAATTGGCCTAAAATAATTAATATTTCCCTGGACTAAAAGGTGAAAAAGACGATGTTTGTTACTCGCCAATTGTACCATTAATCACTGAACTTGACAGGTTTCCTCACCGACCGAAACTCGTGGCAGCAGGTGAAACTTATCCTGGCCAGACTGCTGAGATGGCGGACGATCCTGCCAACCCAGGACAAAAGCGGCTTATGTTTAAGGGACCTCTGGGTTATTCATTGGAATACATGGCTAAATCCATGAACTTCACGTAAGTAAAATTACTGGAATACGTTTAATGCTAGTGACCATAAATTACATACATTTATTGATACACACACTATATATATATATATATATATATATATATATATATATATATATATATATATATATATATATATATATATATATATATATATATATATATATATATATATATATATATATATATATAACCGGTCGGGAATTACTGGACTCTCAATTTCTCACTTGACTTGGGGTTTATTAAAGATTATTAGATGGTAATTGCAGTGGAAGCGCCCCTTTGAGAAAATTCCCGAACCAGCACAGGAACACATAAATCTACGAACCAAATTATATTGTCCGTGACCCGTGGAAGGATAGCGTCTGTGACTGGGATGAATGAGACACACTGTAAAATTTAGGCACTTATATTCCCTCCAACACTACAAACACAATCAATAATGGTACACCAATATGCCCACCTCTTAACCTGAACTTAAAACACTACTCTGGGGAATAAGAGTTATACATGATATTGAAATTATTAGAAACTCAGACAATGCCTCATTAGACAACAATAAATTCAAAGTATTAAGAAATGTTGCTTCCACACATGAAACAGGCATTAAGGGCTTTCAACAAAATAATATCCACCACTGAGAAAATGGTATTAAAAAAATAAGAACTTATTTACTCCACCCTGAATAGGCCTTCAGGGCACTCAACAAAATTATATTACCCCAACAGATGCACACCTCCTAACCTAACTTAAACACTACTCTGGGGAACAAAGGTTATACCTGAGATTGAAATTATAAAGAAATATTAAAGGCATTAAAGGAACTAAATCACAGTATCACTTACAACAGAGGAGGAACCTCATCTGAAAAACAGTTCCCTCATTCTCTGGCATCAATTAGTGACACAACATTAAAAAACAATACTATCAAATTATTTAAGAAATATTAACTACACACAAAAATATTATCACTCTTATTAAGAAGTTACTGGGTCCACCAATACCCGTGAACCATGCTTCACCCAACTCAACATACACCCGTAATAAGGGAGACAAAATGTTTCTCTAGGTATCCCCTAGACTCCTGGTCTCAGTGTGTGACCATTAATTTACTCAGATAGCCTCAGTGTACTCTCAGTGTGTCCATGGGCGGGAAGAGAGAACGCCAGCTGGTGACTATGGCCAGTAGGTAATACTTCTAGCTAACCGAGGACACGTGGTGTTGTGCATCCACGTAGTAAGAACCGATCACCCAATGCTGATGCTGGTCCCTTGTCGTTTTAGTTGTCTGGAGCACTCGTTCACTCAAGTGATCTTTTGCTACCCCGCTAACCATTGACAAGCCTACACTGATCGTTCCAACGGCGACAATCGCCAATCCTCAATCATCAACGGCAGTCTCAAACGGCAGTCAATCTCTCTCAGTCAAGTGGGTTCTGACGAAAACCCTGAAATTAACTCACTGTTAGCTCTTAATAACTTTATCACTGCCCTATCTTACCCCTATCTGAGATCGAATGAGACTTACTTGTTATACTGCAATAGCGCAGCACAGGTGACTAGACCACGTGACTATTTCTGTGGACGGACGCGCAGGGAACTCCTGCTGGCCCGATCGCTTTCGCGTGACTGAGAACCAACCAGCCTCTAGTCTCCCCAAGGCGTTAGCTTAGGTCTACGTGACATATTTTCCGCCTAACTAATAACTTTCTTGGGACACCCGTAACATTATTCAGACTGATAAACGATCTGTAATAATTTCAAATTTACTAATAGTCCCGTAACTTCATGAATGGCATCATTATTAATTCGGCAAATTACATTCAATATCGTATAGGCCCAGTTCCACAAACTCTCGCTACGTGCAGGAGCGCGGTCTTCCCTCAGACGACCTTGAACTCAGTATCGCCATTAGTGTCGTTTGAAACTACACTAAAATTTCTGATTATATATATATATATATATATATATATATATATATATATATATATATATATATATATATATATATATATATATATATATATATATATAAAGAGAGAGAGAGAGAGATAAGGTGGTACACCCTCCTTAAAAAAAAAACTGAAATTTGGTATGTCCCCAATAATGAATATGCTCATCTAAAAGTGGGCACTCTGTCAGGACCTGTTTTTGATATAGAGCTGAAATTTGGTGTCATTATATTTTGCATGTGCACTTACATTTAACCGAAGACGGATTGTAGGCTATGAGCTGCCCTTCTCTATTAGTGGTTTTGTTTGCGTATGTTTATCTCTGTTTTTATTTATGCATTTTATTTTTTGGGTATCAACCCTTGTTTAACATAAAGTAAAGAGCTGGAATTTAGTTTTACTATTTAATTATAGGTGTAATCTCGGGGCTTGGCCCTGCTTATGTTCACATTACTTCGTCAAAAACGACCCCGTTACCCACAGGGGGGCCCGGCCAGTGTTTTGTATATGAGTGAGAGGTCAGTAGTTTGATGGTGAATGCATGTTATTTTATGTACTCAAGCTGGCTTAATTTATATAATAATGATAATAATAGGGAGTTAACAATCATGTTATACTGAATTAGAAAAAGTAATGAACACATAAGGTAATAATTGTGCTTGTTTCAATTTTGTGGTAACGCAGAGACCGATAAATCCATAACGCTCATCCACCCCGCCTGAAATAAGAATCACTAATAATTGTAATTAATCACTGGTTTGATTATCAGTTCGAATCATTAAATATTGGAAATTAGGAAAAAAACGCTAAACGAGATCGTTGGCATGTGTTGCAGGTACACCTATATCCTGGACTCTGATGGGACTTTCAGCACTTTGCTCAACAGGGTGATCTGGAAGGTACATGTTTGTAGAATGAATCATTTATTTAGATCTTCATAAATGCATATCTAAAGCAGGATAATATATACACACCGAGTATTTCTGTCTACATAGGGATAAAAACCGATTGGGCATATTATTTCATATATGGTAAAACATCTTCCTAATCCTTACCAAATTCTCACCATGCACAGGAGGCAGACATCGCGTTAGGTCCCTTCGTTATAAGCAGCAAACGCACTGAAGTGGTTGACTTCCCGTGGCCAATACACATAGGGAACTCTAAGATCCTGGCAGGTCGTGGACAGCCGGAGGTGGACCCGTGGGGCTTCCTCTTGCCCCTGTCACCACTTGTGTGGGCGGCAATTCTGACGGCTCTGTTGGTGCTGCCTGTGACGGTGTTTCTATTGTCTTCTTCCTTCTCTCAAGAAACCTTTAGTGGAAGCGTTTGGCTAAAATTTATCCTCAAATATGTTCGAGTTTTATTTCAACAGGGTAGGTACAAATTATGAGGTATTTGATGAAGAGAAAAATAATGATAATTTGAACTTCATGGCTGAAGACCCTAGTACCTAGTGCGAGGCCGTACTACTCACTACCAGCCGTTGAGAGCACCCATTAGACCGCATTTGTGTATTGAAACTTTAATTGTTTCAATAATTGTCTTCATTAACTCGTTATGAATGATTTAACGGTAGAATTTGTAAAAATACGGCCACAGACTGTGGTGGTTGGCCTATATATTAGGGTGTGTCATACGGAGGCGAATTTTTTTTTTTTTGAGTTTGAAAAATCGGCCCATGGTATTAATGATGTAGTTCTATGTGCAGAATCATGTGATATCTTCAGATTTGAAAAGTTTTCATTTTTTGCTAGGTAAATTTTAACTTGAAATCTTATGAAAATTCAGTATTCCCACCCTTTTACCAACACCACTAAATAGCTTATTTAAAGTAAAGTAAATGTATCAGGTTAATTTATTAGGATGAAAATGATCCAGAATAGTGAAACGAATGATCTTGACACATTTATTAAATCTAATATTCCTTTAGAAAACAAAATCATCAAATACAAAAACCGGTTTTACTACTACGACCCGGTGTTGCTGCACACCATAGAGAACATGTCTTTCTTGCTTCTGTTTCTACTCATCACCTCCCTGCTGACCACCTGAGCTCGGATGTAGCCTTCCCTCCTCTCCTGGCTGTACACGTGACTGCTGGCCTCGCTCACTTGCTGTACACAACGCTCTATACTCTGGGTGTGCGAGGGCCAGGCAGGGACATGCATGGGGTTGTCCAGGAAAGCTCTGACTTGAACATTGGTGAGGCTGCAGGTAAGAGGGGGCTCACTGTCAGCCTGGATGTTATCCCAGATCTACGATCAAGGAGAGAAGCCCTGGCATCAGATTGACTTCAGAGTCTTCCTGACTTGAAGGAATCGTCACCAACTGATTCGTCATGCCCAGATCCCTTCATAAGCTCCCTATATATCCAAGATCTTTTTGACTGCCACTCTTCTCTCCTCCTTTCATCCTTACTGCAGAGCATTGTCTGCAGAACTGCCTCGGGATGAGCATGCCAGGAAGATCTCCTCACAGTCTGCTCCACAATCTGAACAACCTTCCTTGGCTGACTCCTCAGGAGCTCAAACTGGAAGAGAACATGCCTCGGACCTTCGGAGAACGATGACTTGAGCCTTGGTGTTGAACCAATTTGGCAAGTAGACACTCACGATGAATTGGACAATAAGTTTCAGGTTGTGAAGCTGGTTCCCTTTCAGTTTATGATGAGCGACCCAAATTCTGCAGAACCTGAGAGCCGTTGTGAGCCACCTAGAATGTGAGACTGGACCTATCTGCAGGTAAGTAAGTCTATCAGGCATGACCCCAGTTTTGATGGCACTGCAAATCATGTAACCATAGTACTGGTCAGTACTCAGGTCGTCAATGACAGTATGTGCAAGCTCAACGAGTGGAGGGCCAACTGTGATTTTTTCAAAGCTCGGATTTATTTCTAACTCAGTGGCAGAGTCCAGCATCTTGCCAAGAGGACCAGACCATCTGTTGTTTGAAAGAGTCTTCCCATCCAGCTCCTGGATCAGATGTCTGAGTGGCACTGTTGGTGTGGAGGTCACAAAACAATCCAGACCAGCTTCCTCCCAATCTTCCGCTCTATCCACTGTATGACCCCCCTGCCACCCCTGTGTTCGTGTTGGTGCTGTCCCCTCCAATGGCCTGCAGGGTCTGGTCTACGTTCCTCTCTCTGAGCCAATTCACAATGTTATCTGCCACTATCTCAGCTGGTTTCCTGATGTCATCTTTCTCTGGAGTGAAATGCCACAAATACTTCCCTCCTGGTTCACTGCAGCAGGAGTAGTGTTCCTCCTTCACCATGGCAGGGAACAACTTGTCAGAATTTCCAACTTTCATGAACACTTTAGTGTCATCCCTTCTCCCATCAAAGAACAAACAATTGATTCCATTTTCTCTTATCCCCTTATTAAACTCCTCTTCTAGGTTACTGACAAGTTTCTCCTGAGCTCTCCTTACTTTGTTATGATCTATCACCAGGTGAACATCATCAGGCGTTATCAAACCACCGTCAATCCAGGCAGCTGTTGCTATCTCTGCAGTTTCTCTGAGACCAGTGTGGTGTCGCATGCTGGCCAGAGCCATGCTCGGGATATCTTTCCTATTTCGAATCTTATGCCGAAGGTTTGGGGATCATTATTTTCGGGTTAGGGACAAAGTCACCATTCTCCTGGTCAGTACCGGATCAGCCAAGGGGAAGCCAGTTAAACTCTGAATCAGCTTGACTCCAATCATCGGCCTTTTTTACTCCTCACCCTGGCCTTTCAAGTCTTTTTTTTTCTTGGCAACTCTTCTCCTCTTCTGTCTCTCTTGTGGCAGCCTCCTGTCTCTTGACTCCGAATATCTTGGCTAGAAATCATGAGAGCCCCTATACTGCCAGTCTTCTCTGTGCTTGACAAAATGCCAGTTCGATCACAGGAATCTTTGTTCACGCTTGCAAATACAGGAGATGTGGGCCTCGGATTTACAGTCACGATCGCATCCAAAACTCAGACAGAGAACACTAAGCACTTGCAAGTAATTATACAAATAACTGGTCCAGTTGCTTGGCAAAGCTGTCCTTAACTGCAAGTTTTCCTCTCCCAAGAGAGATATCTCTTGCCTTTTCCCAACTGGCTAGCAGTCTCTCACTAATCTTCTTCTGACTTGTTATGACTGGAGGCTTGAACTGAGCGTTAGCCAGAGTGTACTGTGCCAAGACAGCTTTGGTCATATCACTGGCAATGTCTTTGTTTGTGTAAGTTTTTTGGTTCTTTTCACTGATTTGCCTTGATTAAAACACCGTATCTCAAAGCATCTCTCAATGTAGGCAACTCCGACTTCAGGAGCTCTCTCCCAGACCCAAGATAGTGACTGAGATGGCTGGATTTTTGGTTCCTCGTCCTGACACAAGCAGCCATCGCAAATATTATCAACTTATAAATGCATCAGAATCTGAAACAGAAAAAAATATTGTTAGTTGGGTTGTTAAAGAATGAAGTCAGAAAGCAATGTTCACTATTTAATTGTAATGCACTAATGCAGCTGTACGTTAGATTTTCGATAAATTTCACGCTAAAATTTACCTAGCAAAGGTTGCAAAATATTGAAACTGAAATTATTTTCTGTTTATATACACTAAAATCTACCAAAAAAGTGATGGGCCATTAGTTTTAGCTGATCTTCCCTCCTATGACACAATCCTAATATATATATATATATATATATATATATATATATATATATATATATATATATATATATATATATATATATATATATATTTATTTATTTATTTATTACTAGTCGGGAATCGAACCCTGTACCTTTGAGTGTGAACAGGGATCGCTACCACCGCGCCACTCAGGAATTGCAAGCAAGTATGATCTGTTGTAGGTGGCAGTCTTGCAAGTTTAACTGCACTATTACTGTGACTCATTGCTTTGCCAAAGTTCTTGACGTGATACTGAGTTAAAGAGATTTCACTCTTCTCTGCCCCCACGTATGTCATCACGTTTTTTAACCAATGTCATTTTTCCCCTTATGAAATACAGAATATATTGTGTCACAGCCACTTGCAGTGCGCAAATATCGAATGTGGTCTTTAATCACTTTATGGTTAACCTGCATATCTATGGAGGAGCACAACTGATTCCTTTGGCTTAAAGAGAAATATGTTCCTATTCCCTGGAGTTATGCAATAAACAAAACTCGAAATTTTCATCTTCGCCTACAAAGCATTGTTTGTATATGGAAGTACGCGTGTTATATGCGTTTCACATGCTATATTTTTAAAACAGTCGTTCTTTAGTTTACGAAGTTCACGCTGGGCTGCCACTTTCTTCTTGCAGAAGGTATCAGCTTTGGTCCGAGACTGAAGGTTGTTCTGCCAGTCAGTTATAGCAACACGTAAATCATCGATGAGTACAGTGATTGCCATGTCATTTTCATCAAACCAGTCCTGGAGTATTCTTTCGATCTAGCCGAGGGCTCCTCTGCAGGATTTAATCATGACTATGTCGAGAATATCCCATTTGGCACTGGAATTTGGGATGTTTGATGTAGGGTTGTTTATCAGCTCATGCTCTCTGAAAGCATGTGTTACCGCTGGATCCTCCAGACGCTTAGTGTTGCCTTTGCCGTTTTGGGGGACGTGAAGTGAGAGCTTGGCCGTGACGAGCCGATGATCAGTGTCACAGTGGTGTCAGCCACACATAGCTCGGGTGATGACGACATCTCGGCGATCTCGTTCTCTGACAATGATATAGTTAATGATATGCTAGTGTTTGGATTGTGGGTGTTGCCACGAACCCTTGAACTTATCTGCCTGCTTAAAGAAGATATTGGTGATATTGAGGAGGAGTAGGCCATATATTTCACGTGCTTAGTCAGCATCTCTGCCAACTCTGGCATTGAAGTCACCAATGAGCACAACTTTATCTTCTCTGGGGGTAGAGGTTAGCACTCTGTCAAGGTCGGGGTAAAAGGCCTCCTTGATGTCATCCTCTGCATCCAGTGATGCACTGATGAAAAAGGCATGACGTGAGTGATTCAGTGGGACTCTGCGCTTCATGAGGCACTTATTGATCCCAACAGGCATTTCAGTTACCCTGTTTAAGATACATTGGCGGATGGTAATGCCAACTCGATATATGCGGTTTCTTTTTGCAGAAGTGCTTACCCTTCCAGAAGAAGGTATGGCCAGACTCTTCTCGGAGCCGGGACTCACTAATGGCTGCTATGTCGATGTTACATCTAGACAGCTCTTTTGCTACAAGGGCGGTTCTTCTTTCAGGACGCTCTTTTGTGCCAGTATCCAGAAGGGTCCTGACATTCCACGCAGCAACTATAAGAGGTTGTATAGTTTGTTTTTGTCTTGATCTTGGAGTATAATTGCGTTTTCGACCGCATAAGGATGACCTTACTGGGTGCAGTTGCCCAGTCAGGTTGGTTCTTTAGGCAGGCTGTGTGGGGTGAGCAGAGTGGCTCCTAGAAAGGGCTGCTCAGTCGCACAGACTGGACAGGATTGCAGACTATCTTGTCTATACTGCCCTTGTACAGAGTTGTGACTAGACACTTCTGGCAATCATCTGTGTCTGTCCCCGTCCCCATCCGTCTGTTGTCATCGAACTCTTGGGGTATAGGGGTTTTGATGATGATTAAAAGTATGATGAGCTGGATGATGGCTGCACGTGAGTTTATGTGGTGAGGCAGGAGCACAGTCTAACCTTTGTGCCTCGTGGCATCAGCTGTTCCAGTCGCACGTCAGGCTTACATAGCCATTGTCTGCGGTCCCGTGCACGCTGAGTGCACGGGGGTGAAACTAAGTGAAAAGCTGGATCCTATGAGGCCAGCAGTATATTTTCTCAAATTAATTCATATACTGTTTGTAATCGCTCATAGGAGCGATTTTGGTTTGTGCAGGACAATAAGACCCTTGTCGTTGACGCGATGAGTATAATTCGGTCAAAACCTGTTGAATACATTTCACATATAACAACTGCTGGTACATCAGGACACAGTTTGAATAATACGATCAATATACAGTACATAATTACACTTATTAAAGTTATTTAGAGTTCTCAGAGGATTCAACAGTTCACAATCACACTCACTTTTTGGGGTCTCGGGTTAGACCAAGGAGAACAAATCTAATGTCCTGCTGGTGATATTGGCTGACGAGAATCAAGATGTTACCTCTACGGTAGAAGGCGATAGTCTGTCTCTCAGGCAATCACACAGCTGCTACCAGCTCCATCTCGCTTAGTAAGCTATTCTGAGTTGCAAACAGTTTCTTCACTTAACATGTGGCCGGCGCGCACAATTATGCGTCGTAGCGGTAAAATGCCTTTGGGATTGACTTGATCTATACAGCAATCTGCCTCTGGAACTCTTTTTCAGCCATTCTACACTCTGACTTTGCTTGGTTCCTGGATCTGGCATACATCCTCTTGTCCTACTCATCATTTGTCTCAAAATCCTGAGTTTTCTTCTTAACTTTCTCGAACACGCTCACACTTAGCCTTTATCACAATATATCATCGAAATTTTCGTTTAGAAATATTCTTATGTATGTATGCTGAGTGATGGTAAAGAAGTAGTGAGAGCAACTGGTGACCTCGGTAACCTCATAACCTGTCATAAAATTAATTTTCACAAATCACCTAAAATTAGACATCCAAGCTTATATCACATAAGGCTACCTGGAGTGTTAGGTTAGGTTAGGTTAGGTTAGTGTAACAGTGGCATTAGTGTTTCCCGCCTGAGGGTTCAAGCCAATCTCAGGGACCTGTGAGGGTAAATGCCTTAGGCCTTGAACCATTGAGAAAACCTGTAAGACGTGACGTCATGAGGAGGTGGCCCCTTTGTGTTGACGCAGTTTGAAAAGGCTAGTCTGTTTTTGGAGAGTGTAGTGTGGGTCGGTGTGGGTGTCACCTCCTCACATGGCTTTTAGTTTAACAAATTTATATATATATATATAATGTCAGATTCACGTGGGTAATGTCACTCTTCACTGCCATACAGGACAGAGGTTCGTACACAAAGAATACACCATATTCATTGACCCTATATATAGGTAAGATTCATGGGCAATGTCACTGTTCACTGCCATGCAGGACAGAGGTTCGTACACAAAGAAAAGAAATACATCATATTCATTATCAGTATATATAGGTCAGAGGTTCACATACATTGAGTCATATTCTAATTGAAGACTAATCAGTATGGGCTAGCAAATTTGGGATAAACAGCAAGAATGTCCTCAAGCACCCCTCATTCAATGTAGTAATTACATAGTTCAAGATACAATAAGTCAGGTGGCCTGAAGTCTTTGACAGTGTCACATTCAATAATATAGTGTTCAAGTGTATGCTTTAGAGGTTTATCACAAAGTTTACATGCTGAGTGTTCCGGTGTGTGGGTACAGCGTTCCTAACTTGCCAGATGTGTCTGAATCCTAGCAATTTTGGCCACGACTACATCACATTGTCTGGTTCTGTCCTTATGCTGGCCATACCGGTACCTCTTGTCACAAAATTTGTCATATTTACTAATGCTACAACTGCCAGGTCTCTGTATTTCTCACTTCTTCTAGATCAGAGTTCATGCTTCAGACTTGAATGTTTTTAATTGCAGCATTTGACAGGTGTTACGAGTTGGGGATTTAGAATATAGTTAAAAGTCTACCCAGATCCCAACAGGCAACAACAACAACAAAAAAAAAACAATCGGACTAAAAAGGGTAGACAAAGGATGCGAGTTTGTTGTGTATAATAAAGTACCATAAATTCCTTAACAAAATATTCAGCGTTCTATAATTTACCCTTAACCATACTTAACCTAAACATTAACAGTATATACATATTTATACAACATAAACAATTTTGAAGCAAGTGGACGTGGGGAGGCAATATAAGATTACAAATACTTAAGTGCGGAGCTGAGATGGCTGACGAGCAAGGCTGAGTATTGTAGAAGACGGTAGGAGTCACTGTGCCGTAGGTTTCCAGGATAGGTAATCCTGTGGTCACTTCCCAGAGTGTAGCTCTCTCCTCGAATTGGAGCTGACCAAGAAGACTTTGAGGAGGTGACGCAACAACCAGGATATGGAGAAGGAAACCCCGGAGTGGTAACTAAGACGAGTCATACTCGTGTTTCGTCCCTAGATGGCGGCTCGTGGTGCTGGGTAGGTAGATCAAGACAATAGATGGCGTGGTTCGTAGTGCTGTAGGTAGATCATGACAATTGGTGGCGGGGTTCGTAACACACCCTCCAAAGACCTCCGTAGCGCGGGCGCGAAGGAGGTGATCACCTGGTGCGTCTGGAATGTGGCGGAGCATTAGAAAAGCCAAACGCCAT